CCTGTCCCCATGTCCCAGTCCGTGTCCTCAACCCTGTCTGCTACCCTGTCCCCTTGTCCCCAGCCATGTCCCCATGTCCCCAACCCCATCCCTGTGTCCCCAGCCACATCCCCAACCTTGTCATCCTGTCCTTGTGTCCCCAACCCTGTCCCCAGCTGTGTCCCCATTGTCCCCACAGGGGGAGTTTGGGGTGTACCTGGTGTCCGATGGCAGCAGCCGTCCCTATCGCTGCAAGATCAAAGCGCCCGGCTTCGCCCACCTGGTACGGCCTGGGGACACTTGGGGACACCTGGGGACACTTGGGGACACCTGGGGACACTTGGGGGACACCTGGACACAGCTGGGCACACTGGGGGACACCTGGGCACACTTGGGGACACTGGGGGATACCTGGGGACACCTGGGCACACCTCGGGATACACCTCGGGGACACCTGGGGACACTTGGGGACACCTGGGCACACTTGGGGACACTGGGGGATACCTGGATACACCTGGGATACACCTTGGGGACACCTGGGATACACCTTGGGGACACCTGGGGACACTTGGGGACACCTGGGGACACCTGGGCACACTTGGGGACACTGGGGGATACCTGGATACACCTGGGATACACCTTGGGTACACCTGGGATACACCTGGGGACACCTGGGCACACTTGGGAACACTGGGGGATACCTGGGTACACCTGGGATACACCTTGGGGACACCTGGGCACACTTGGGAACACTGGGGGATACCTGGGTACACCTGGGATACACCTTGGGGACACCTGGGGACACCTGGGCACACTTGGGGACAGCTGGGGGATACCTGGGCACACCTGGGTTACACCTTGGGGACACCTGGGCACACTTGGGGACACTGGGGGATACCTGGGCACACCTGGGATACACCTTGGGGACACCTGGGGACACCATGGGGCTCAGGGGACGTGGGACAAGGGACACTGGAGGGTCCTTATGGATGTGTTGCAGTGGGGGGTAGGGAGGGTAATTAACCCCTGCGGGTTAATTGGGATGTTGGGGGTCCACGTGGGGGTCCCTGGGGTTAATTAGGGGTTAACTGGGGGTCCCTGGGGTAGTTGCCATGGGTTAATTTGGGATTAATTAGGGATTAATTAGGAGTCACCATGAATTAACTGGAGGTTAACTAAAGACCCTCATGGGGGTGGAGTTCTCCGTGGGTTAATTGCATGTTAATTAGGCGTTAATTGTAGGCTCTCTGGGTTAATTGGCTATTAATTAGGTGTTAATTAGATGTTAATTGGGTGTTAATTGGGGTTCCCCAGGCCGGGCTGGACAGGATGGCCCAGGGCCACATGCTGGCAGACGTGGTGGCCATCATTGGTACGTCCCCCTCCCCTTTTGGGGGTCCCTCCCCCCTTTTTGGGGGTCCCTTCCCCATTTTTGGGGTCTCCTCTGGTTCTCTTGGGGTTTTTTTTCCCCATTTTAGGGGCTCCTTCCCCAATTTGTGGGATCTCTTCCCTTTTAGGGTTTCCCTCCCATTTTGGGGGTCACTTCCCCCATTTTCCCCTCTTGGAAGCCTCCTTCCCTGTTTTGGGGGGGCTCCTTCCCCAGTCTGGGGGGGTTCTTGCCAAGTTTGGGGTCCCCTTCCCCACATTTGGGGGTTTCCTTCCCCATTTTGGGGGTCTCCCTCCCTTTTTAGGGTCTCCCTCCCAGTTTTGGTGTCTCTTTCTCCTTCCCTACATCAATTTCCCAATTTGGGGGGTCCTTCCTCAGTTTGGGGTCCCCTTCCCCACCTTTGGGGGTCTCCTTCCCCATTTTGGGGGGGGGTGTCCCTCCCTCTTTAGGATTTCTTTCTGTTTTTAGGGTCTCCCTCCCTTTTTGGGGTTCTCCTTCCAGTTTTGGGGTCTCCTTCCCCTTCCCAATTTCGGGGGTGGAGGTTTTCTCCCCAATTTGGGGGTCTCCCCCCCCATTTTGGGGTGCCCTGACCCCCTTTTCCCCCTGCAGGCACCCAGGACATCGTGTTTGGGGAAGTGGATCGATGAGGGGGGGTCCCCGTTCCCTCTCCGTGTGCTGCTGCAGTTTGGGGGTCCCCCCGCCCCCCATTTCGGGTCAAATAAAGCCAAAATCGGGTCCTGAGCCTCCCTGTCCCCTTTGTCACCTCGTTCCCCCTCCTTCCCCATTTTGGGGGGGCTTCTTCCACTTCCTGGGGGCTCCTTCCCCAATTTGGGGGGGGCTCCTTTTCTTTTTTGGGGGTCTCCTTCCCTTTTTGGGGTTCCTTCCTCATTCGGGGCCTTTCTCCCCAATTTGGAGGGGCTTGTTTCCCCTTTTGGGGTCTCTTCCCCTTTTGGGGCCTCTCTCCCCAGTTTGGAGGGCTCTTTCCCCAATTTGGGGTCTCCTTTTCTTTTTTGGGGTCTCCTTCCTTTTTTGGGGTCTCCCTCCCCAGTTTGGGGGGCTCCTTTCCCCTTTTGGGGTCCCTTCCCCTTTTGGGGTCTCCCTCCCCAGTTTGGGGGCGGAAGGAGCCCCCTCCCAAAAAGGGGGGCAGGGTTTTCCCCACACCTCCCCCTCCCCACAGGACATTTTGGGGGGGGTCTCTCCGGCCCCCCCCCAGGTCCGGGGGAGCGGCCGGACGTTGGTGGCCGCGGTGACACTCGGGGACAGCGGAAGGGAGGGGGGAGGTGGCAGCGGGGAAGTGGGGGAGGGGCCGGCGCTGCGGTCACCGAGGGGACCCGCGGGGACAATGGGGACACCGGGGACCGGGGGGGCGCGGGGCCTGCTCAGCCTCGTGCTGCTGGGGGGGCCCGGCCTGGCCGCAGGTGGGGAGCGGGGGTTTGGGGGTTCGGGGGAGCTNNGGGTCGCAGGAATTTGGGGTTCTGGGGATGCATCACAGCCCCTTCCCCACCCCCTTAACTTTTGGGGTGCCCCAGGGTCTTGGGGGGCACCCGGGGGGGGGTCCAGGACCGACCCCAACCCCCACAGACCTCAGGCACGGGGTGGGGGCGGGGGGCTCTGGTGCCACCCAAGGCGCCATCAGTGCCACTGTGGGGTGACACACGGGGCCGGGGGGTCCCCAAAACCCCCCCAACACCCCCCAAAATCGCCCCCAAACCCTTAAATCACTCCCAAACCCTTAAAATCCCCCCAAATCCCCTCAAAATCCCTTCAAATCCCCGCCAATATCCCCCAAAAATCCATTCAAACCCCCCCAAAATCCCCCCAAACCCCCCCAAGCGCCCCAAAAACGCC